GGCCTGAAAACCAGGACCTACAGGCCCTGTGTCTGTTTCAGCCTGACAGCCTGAAAACCAGGGCCTACAGGCCCCGTGTCATTTCAGCCTGACAGCCTGAAAAAAAGGGCCTATAGCCCCTCAGGCTTTAGCCAGAAGCTACCTGGAAACTTCCCAGAAGCTTCCTCAGGCTTTAGCCAGAAGCTACCTGGGAACCTTCCGGAAGCTTCCTCAGGGTCTAGCACGTTTGGGCATTGGCAAGAGCAGCCTCCTGGACAGGCCAGCACTATATAAGACTGGCCCGCCCTACAGACAAAGGAGGTAGTTTTTAGTAGGCACGAGTAGTCTTCAGGATTTCGGCCGCAGCACTCAGGAGGAGCGCTGCAGTAGTCTTCAGCGCTAGGTAGTATTAGCGCTAGCTGTAGTCTTCGGCGCTGGGCGCCATAGCTGTAGCTGTAGTCTTCAGCGCTGGGCGCTGGCAGGTGGTAGATCGTAGAGTGGGAGAGAGACTGGCGGAGGCCAGTGTTACTTACCTGTGGCGCCATCGCTCCAGCTCCATCTTCGTGGTACCTGAATCAAGGCGCCAACTTCACAGGTTAGTACTGGACACAGAGAGAGAGAGAGTTCTTCTTCTTTCTCTTCTAAGTCCACCTTCTCTTCTCACCCTCTCGCCACCTGACTTCTCAGACTACGACAGAGAGAGACAGAGTTGTGACTTGAGACTTGACGACATTGGATCCAGACTTGACATTTGGGATTCAGACATTTCGACGAGGGACTATTTGGGCTTGTGCCGAAGACTTGGTGTTGACGACATTCCCATCTTCCCCCTCCTCTTCGTCTATCCCCTTCCTCTTCGTCTGTGTATGGTATGGGCTGGCACAGTCTTCCTGTGTGAAGCGCCAGGCCCATTTCACACCATGTAACGATGATGATGATGTATGTTCAGGACTGCATTTCAACATTGATTGTTCGGATCACTGGTATCTAAGTCTTCCGTTGTGCTATCTTATACTTTGTATTGAAAGGTCGGTTCTTGTTCTGGTCTGCATGTTACAGTATGCAACAGTTTGGTATC